GGGAGTCGTCCACGTCGTGATCGGCCATAAACTCAGCTCGTGGAAAGTCACGTGAATGAACGTCTCGGCTGCTAATCCCTGAAACATAGCCGATATAGAGCGGTTGAGTAGGCTCAGGGCAACTTTCATGTTAACTTGATAATTAATTTAAATAAAACTTTTAGTTTAAAGATTTTGTGCAACATAAAATTTATGGCTCTCATCAAGAACCAAACATGGTGAATGACTATAGCCGTACATCTGAACCTTATTTATGATAATAATATAAATTTATATATATATATAAATAATAATTTTACATAAAAAATAAGTAACGAAAAAAGCATTGGATATAAAACAGTAACTTATAATTATTGACATGGTTACATTAATTAGTTTTAATTAAAATCCAATATTGGGTCGTTATAAAATATCTCTAATTGGACTGATATTTGTTGAAGTAACTCTAGAAATGTATCTAGCAAACTGTAATTATTGCTCTAGCACAAGTTATCACATAATGTTTGACATAAATTTTGTCAATATTAACTATTTTAATTTAAATAAATAAAATTATACTACAAATTATTATTATATTTTAAAAATATAATTTATTTAAAATATAAATATAGTTTATTTAGGTTGTATAATCAAAAATCTTTCTATGTGTAGAAATTATTTAAAATCTATTAAATTATTTAATATAATTAATTACTAAAAATAAATTACATTAAATAATTTACATTAAACAATTTTTTACACAATTAAAACCACCGTTTGCTTGAGCATATAGTTCATTAGTTCATATCAGTAACAGACCATGTTCAATAACTACAAAATTGGATTTTATATTACATAAAATTTTGTATAAATATTTATCATAATATTTATTTAATTCAATCAATATTATTACAAAATACAATTCGTCATTCTGGAGGCCCAGTGCCAGACCTACCGGTGCCAACCAGAGAGTAATAATAATTGTATTATATTATTATAATTTCTAAACTATTTTTGATATTTTTATTCATTGTCTAAACTGTAAATTATTTAAAATAAATATATTAGCACAATAGTTATTTTAATAAATTTAATAAAATCATTTGTCGCTTCAACTTGGTTTATTAATAATGTAGTTAAAAATCTATTAAAAAGCAGTTGCACATTAAAAATGCGCTGGGTACTTCGATTTTGTTGATTTAGTTTGCGTGGTGACTTATACATGCTTATCCATGGTTATGATATAAGGAAATTAATATAAAAATAAAAACTAATCTAACATAAGAAATAAGTTAAAAATACAGCATAAAATTTAAACAGCAATTAATAATCTTACTTACAATTAATTAACTTATTTTTAATGAAAATATTAAATTGGATTGTACGGTGCCTTGATATTTTTGTATTTATAAACAAATATTATATTTATTTAATAAATTAAAAATTAATACAGAATACAATTCGTACGAATATTTTTATTAAATAATATTTTGGTTCATGATCCAATAAATAAATATTAAAATGTAAATTATTTATTGTGTTATAAATTATAATTGGAAATATTTACTAAAAATATAATAAATTACTAAAAATAAATTACATAAAATAATTTAAATACACTAATCTTGTACACAATAATGTCGTATTCATTAAAAATAGATTATTACACATTTAAAGCCACTGTTTGGACAAGTATTCCATACCCCAAATTGACCATGTTCAATAATCTTAAGGGTCCATCCATTTAGTGCGAATCACTCGTAAAGAGTGTCATAACAGCCATAACACAGAATCCGATGAATAGTAAGAAAATCTTAAACAACTTTTGCCTATACTTCTGGTGCTCGCCATCACCGCCCGTACCCCCAGTGGAAAGGGAGTCGTCCACATCGTGATCACCCATAAACTCAGCCGGGATGAGCTCGTGGAAAGTCACGTGAATGAAGGTCCCGGCGGCTAATCCCTGGAACACAGCCGATATGGAGCGGCCGAGGAGGCCAGGGGTCACACCGAGCACTACACCCAACACAATGCCGACGGGTATTGTCAACGAGAAAAGCACCGAAAACTTGACGTTTGTTTTGACGGCGGAGTCGATACGGGCTGAGTTTAGGCCCAACGCGAAGGCGACGAGACATTCGTGAAGAATAATGCCTACGAAGAGGTGCATCGCTTTCGTGGTGTCCTTCTGGAGGCCCAGTGCCAGACCTACCGGTGCCCACGAAATAGATATATAAACATTTTATTAGTTTACGATCGTATTTATCAAAATAATAATAGTATTAGGGTAAAAATATTAGCGAACTTTTTGTGTTAGCTAGGAAATTCATTTTTATGTGAATAGACTGTAAATTAGTTTAAATAAAACTTTTAATTTATGTATTTTGTACAAAATAAAATTCATGGTCAAAAAGCGAACTACCTAGCAGACTAATTTTTATTTTTAAATAGCTACAAAGCAAATATAAAATTGTAATGTTTTTATATCTATTTACTACTGTATATAAAAATGATGATACTTAAAGTTTTTAAATAGTAACATAAATGAAAATAAACTGTACATAATTTTAAATTTATTTTAAAGTTTATTGATTTTATTTATTAAATTTCTATCGGGTTATAAAAGTTCGCGTATTTTCATTTATACTAGCATAAAATAAATTTCAAAACTTTTTTCAAATTAATAATATTAATTGTCCTAAAAGTTTTTTCTCTCTATTTATGCCTCACATGTTATGCTACAGGACTATGGCTACAGGACTGGGATGAGGTGGACATACCTTCAAAGACCGAGTGGACACTCGTGGCGAACATTAATATGAAGAACGATATACTTGTGGTACCGGCGCTCTGCACGTGACTAAAGTCGTGGGAATGGGAGTGCATGTGATGGCTATGACTGT